ACATTTAGGTTACTCACAAGTTTGAGTGTACCTAAGAAGTTCTCTGACCTCAAGTATGATGATCTAATCAAATTATTAGAATCTCATTTTAAGCCTATTCATTCCTATTTTGCCAGTAGGAGAAAGTTCTATCAGGCTCGACAGGACCACAATGAATCCATTAGAGAATTTGCAGCCCGGTTAAGGAGTCTAGCAGGTGAATGTGGTTTCGATACAGAATTGGAACTGCTTATGCGTGATGTGTTAACTTTGGGCCTTAGAGACCCCAAAATCCAAGATAGGCTGTTCGAGGAGGATGCTTCGAAGACCACAACTACATTTGACAAAATGTTAAATTTAGCTGTCTCCAAGGAGGTAAGCGACAAAAATTTGTTGCCTATTAAGTCTGAACCTGCAGATTGTAACCAGTTATCCAAGTATAAACATGGATACAGCAAGATGAGTAAGCCTAGTGGTAATAACCAGTTCTCTTTTAGGCCTAAGCCTAAGTGTAACCATTGTGGCAGGACTAACCATTCCAGCGCTGATTGCAACTACAAGGACTACATCTGTCACATTTGCAACGAAAAGGGCCATTTAGCTCCGGTGTGTAAGAAGAAAGGTAAGCCAAAGTTTAATAAAAAACAGGGCCTACCAAAATTTAAAGCCAAGTTTATGGACGGTACCGGTAAACTTAGTGAAAATGCCACAGCGCAGAACGGAGATGCAGATCAAGATCTTAATGACGCAGATGAAGTTAATTTAGGGGAAACATTTTTTAAAATTGAAGTTGAGCCCCCTAGCTCTGTGAAGTTTAAACATAGGCCAGACTCGGACTTAAAATATGTTCAACCTTTAAAAGTGCCAATTGAAATTCAAGGTAAGCCTATGATGATGGAAGTTGACTCTGGATCTATGTACAATGTTGTTTCTCAGCAGTTTTATAACAACTTTTGTTCCTCTGAAAAACTGTGTGAAAGTGACATTCAACTAACTGATTATGTAGGTCATGTTATTAAGCCTATTGGTAAGTTTGTCATTGATTCCAAGTTTAGTGAGGTGCCACATAAGCTAATTTTTTATGTTGTCCCAAATGGTGGACCACCCCTATTAGGTAGGGATGGCATGCGTACTTTGGGAATGTTATGTAACAATACGGTTCACATTGACCTCAATAACATCCAACCATCGCGGAATGATTGCGAATTAAAGGGAAATGATTTCATTAGGCCTACACCTTTAATTACAACTTCTAGCCTATCTGATGTACCAAGTTGTGTAAGTACGGTTCTCAAGAATTTCCCTGAAGTTTTTGACAACAAGTTAGGTACTTTTAATAAGTACAAAGTGACACTTAATATTTCTCAAGGGTCCACACCCAAGTTTTTTAAAGCAAGATCTCTACCTATTGCGTTAAAGGTACCAGTTGGAAATGAATTAAATAGGTTAATTAACCTTGGTATTCTCAAGAAAGTTGACTATAGCCAGTGGGCTACACCAATAGTGCCTGTGTTAAAACCCGATGGATCCGTCAGAATATGTGGTGACTACCGATTGACAATCAACCCTGTATTAGAAGGTACTGAGTACCCCTTGCCTCGTATTGATCACATTTATGCTAAGTTTAGTGGTGCATGTTATTTTTCTAAGATAGATCTTAAGGATGCTTATCAACAATTGCTTTTGACTGAGGAATGTCAACATTTGACCACTATCAATACCCATATGGGTTTAATGTCATATACAAGGTTATGTTATGGTATTAAAAGCGCCCCAGCTGAATTTCAAAGAGTAATTGACAACTTGTTATGTTCAATGGAGGGTGTCGGTGCTCTTTTGGATGATATTTATGTTACAGGTAAAGACTTAACTGAGCACAACTCTAGATTGGAAAATGTGTTAGGTTTACTTCAGAGTTGCGGTCTAAAAGTAAAGTCTGAGAAATGTTCTTTTGCCAAAGAATCTATTGTGTACCTAGGACATCGTATTGACCGTAATGGGCTTCACCTAACCTAACATCATCACCTAACCTAACGCCTTCACCTAACCTAACGCCTTCACCTAACCTAACGCCTGCACCTGACCAATCACCTCTCAACCGAGGTAACCCACCTGAATTGGTAATTAGGCCTAATGCTTCACCAACGGGTAGACCTAAACGAGAAATTAAAAAGCCAAAAAGGTTCTCGCCATCTTCTTATAAGTAAATAAGGTTGTAGTTATTTTCATGTTACTATTTTTAAGTTACTAAGCGTATAAAATTGATTTTGTTTTCCGATGTGTTAGTTTTCAATTTAATGTAGCCTATAAATCAAAACTTGTAGGTAACTTGAAGTGATATTGTTATTTTTTGAATTTTTCCTAAGGAGGGAGGAATGTTATAAACTGATATTTTTATAGTGAGATTAAGTTTATTTTTATAAGTCTTTGCTTTTAAGGCAGTTGCCTTGGTAGTACTGCTACTGTATTATTTTGTATTTCTATGCTTCCGTTTTCTCTCAGATCTATAACCTCCAATGAGTATTGATGATGTCTAACCTAAATTCCGTTATTCAGTTATGTAAAAGTTATCCATTTGCAACTTAATAAACTGTACTTCAGCATAAAATGTAGTGTTTTAATTCAAGAGCCTGACAGGAGCATAGGTCAATATGCACATCAGTTTAAAGGGCTTAGCTAGCAGAGTTCAATGCCACAAATTTGAACTCAAACGGACAACCGAGCCAAAAATGACAGTTGTTCAAAGATTCATTTAATTTGCATTGCTATTATACGCTTACTCCTCAGGGGGCATAGACCTAGGAATCGGAATAAAATTGTTAACGTAAGCCTAGGTCGATATGCACATCAAATTAAAGGTCTTCACTAGTAGATTAAAATGCCGTAAATTCAAGCTCAAAAGAACACCTGAGTAAAAAATGGCAGTCGTTCAAAGATTCAAAGTGGCAGATTCAAGAAATCTTTGAACGGCTGCTATTTTGAGCATGATCAACCTTTTGAAGTAGGGTTTGCGGCATTGTATTCTACTAAAAAAGATCATTTGATGGGCATATTGACCTATGCTTCTATTTAAGATTTCCTTCTGACTCCTTGCGGAACGTCCCCATGATATGACAGAAAATGCATAGTTCCTTAAAAAAGTAGATTTTTTAGGTGTGGTGTTGATGTACCAAATCTTATTGATGTATCTGTTGTCGTTTAGAAAATATAAAGCCCGTGCGGGACTTTATATAGTACACCCTGTATATACCAATGTATTATACTTAATTTACCATCAAAAGAGTGGTAGCGATCGTGTTGAGTGGACAATGTTGACTTTTAACAGGTTTTTACTTTTTCATATATATTTTTTTTTCTTTTTAATACTCAAAGCAATTGTTAAATTTTTCAGATATTGTTTCTGATATTAAAATCGTCGTGATCTTAGGCTTATCTGAATCTAAAAACGGATATGTATTTCAGAATCTTTCACATTAACATCTTTCATATGAACGTTCAGAATCTTTAGCATTCCTCACCAATGCTCATAAAAATTTGATCATCAATGATGGAGTTAATGGACTTTTATCTTTGATGAGCAATGTTTTATGTTCCACCGTCACATTCTAGGACGCTAGTTGTAGCCTGAAACCGTTCTACACATTACTTCAGGCTAGTCATTGACGCCATATTGTAGGGAATAATTTAGGTGTGTTTTCACACAAAATACGAAAATTAAGATATGCACATTTAAAATTAATAAAAAACTTTAATACTTTAAAAAGTTGAATAATATTTTTATTTTTTTAAGTTGTTTATTATAAAAAGGATTTCGCAATACGTGAAGAAGACTCAAATGATTAGGAATATCTTCCAACCTTTTGGACATTCTTGAGTAAACTCGCTAAATAAAATAAGCTGGTGAAAGCAACAGGTGCAGCTTGCAAAGTAATTTTATTTTCTGTCAGAGATGACAGAGCAGACAAAATACATTCTCTACTTCCATCTTAAAAAACAACAATGCGTCAAATTTATTTAAACTTTTATGAACTCCAACTACAAAATTATTCACGGACATTGAGATTTGATTTCATAGTTAGTTTCCGATTTCAAATGTGGAAATATTATACATTTTTACTGATTTTATTTTAGATCAAACTAAGGATTTTAAAATATTTTAAACTTTGAATACAGTGGACTTATTCAGTTGTAAAATAAAAAAACTCTCTAATTGTGTTTCATATTTGGTTACGTTCAATGATTTAATCTGTTTTATTAGATTTTTTCCCCTTAAGGTTTTTTTTTAATATCACTACTTTTATTTTACTCTTTAATTATCATTATAAATCAGTGAACACAAAGTTTTATTAATAGATCGCTTTATATTTTAAATTGTATATAAAAGAAACAAGTAAGTAACAGGGAACAAATGGTAAGTATCGAAATTCACAATACATACCGAGCATGTCATACCTAGAAATTCGCAAACAAAAAAACATACCTTGGTGTCAACACTCTTTATAAATCACAATCATATAAAATATATATTTGTATAAATTGTATTTCACTTAGGAGACTTTGCAGCTTACAACGCAACTGACAAGTTTTTTGTTTTATTAATTTAAAACTAAGTTGGATTTGCAAACATTTGAGCTAAGAAAAGTTTGATTTGATTTATTCAACTTCTCAGATTTTCGGACAAATATGTTCAAGTGAGTTTTCATCTTAAGTGGGTAAGTCTATTGGAAGTGAAGTAAAAATGTTGTCTATTCTTAAAGACTACTTTTATTAAGAGCATGCCAGATATTTTTCAAAATTTACTTATTAAATAACCTTTAAAATTTATTCACCAGTCACCTCATTCTATGGTTGTGGAACTTATTAGGATAATCGGATCACAGCAAAACTATGGTTTTTTCAATCTTACATGTGGAATGCAATAAAGTGAACTGGAAACATAATCATATATATCGTGAAGAATATAAGAACGACCGATCGATAAAATAAACATATCCATAAGTAAACAGAGTGTAAAGGCTTGCCTGGGTATCCCTATGTATGCTGTAGGTAGACCAACAACAAGGCTCCACTTGATTGGAGTCCAACCCCCAAAACTCCAATTCCTCCTCAAACAGAGGACCGCAAACATTGGTTGGATAGTGCAGCTTCCCCGTTCTGAAACACAATAGATTAACTGAAGAAAACCATAGGTAAAAGGATACAAAATTTTACTATGTATTTCATTAAAATACACACAGGACTATCAACGTCTCGACTATCTAAATTTAATACATTTTAGTAGTTTTGCAGCTTCAAGAAATTTAAAATGTCAAAAATAAAGAGATATATAAAGGGAGGTGAAAGTAGATCATTTATGTAAAAATGTTATTTGAAAAATTGATAAGATTTTACATATCTGCCTACACAAGATGTAAAATTAATCAATACCAAAATGGTGGTTTTCACTACTTACAGTTTAAAAAGCCATAAATGTATCTATAAAGGTTGAATTTTGTTTCTAAAAGCGTTGGAGGATGTGTAACTAACTTATACAACAGATGCAATGATCAAAATATTTCTATTTCGTGTCCTCTTCCCGTTGAAAAGCACGGGTACAACAGATAGTAACAGTAATAATAAAACAAACATACAACTATGGAAGCCAAAGTGGTGGAATCCAAGTAAAGTTTTAAAATAAAAATATGCCTTTGTCCATCTGTGGTGTATTGACTTTAATACAGTAACGTTTCCACCCAATCGGTCCACTACTTGGGGACATACTCGCAAATATCCAAACGTCCACATCTATAATATTAGTAGGATAAAATAGCAAAAGGTTATTTAAGTTAAGCTGAGTTGTAGTCGTAAAAATGCCGATTTCATGTTGTTATTCGATTGGTTTCTTAGATAAATCCTCTCTAAACAGTTGGTTCACTATTTTATTTTCCTCTAACACATACAAAATTTGTAACAAACAATTTTCCCTTCTTATTAATATTTCTTAATCCTGAAGTAGAAAATCATTTTATATTTATATAGAAACTAAATTTTTTTATTTTAATATCAAAGGCGTTCTTTCTAAACTGGTAGCAACATCTTAGTATTGGGTGAAAAATGCCACTGCAGGTGTGTAGGGGCTCCCCAGAAGTAAATAATAAATGAAGCCCGCAAACCAGTAACTTACTTACCCGAACTTGTGGCACATATGACTGTTTGTATTTGTAATGAAAGAAAACTTAGCCAAGTATAAACCTTGTAATGCCAATTTTATTTCTTTTCACTTAGATGTAATTTGCTTTATTAGTTTGAAATCAAAGTTAAATGAAACAATAAACTAAAATACTCTTACTATTTCCAGTACCACATATTATTTGTGTATTTTCAAGAAACTTTCAACTCTTCTTAAACAGTTGAGACATGTGTTTAGATTGCTTAAAATTTATCTATATCATTATATACTATAATTATTAATGTTGTTGTACAAACAAGATTACAAAAGCGTAAACTCCACTATTTAGCTTATATTTAAGAAACAGTTATCTTTTTAATTTTGTTTTTCAACAACTTCAAAACTAATTAAACAATTAGAAGTTTTAATTGGGAAGTTTAAACGTCATTAATGTCTCACACCAACTATAAAGCTACACAAAGAGGGCAACGAGTCGGATAATAGAGCGTCTGGAGAAATGGAGTGAATTTTATTTATAAATGAGGAAACTTTTAGACTTATAATGACTTGATTAAATGATTATTAATATTTGCAACAGAGATTTCTAACCTGTAGTAAGACTTTTGTATTTCTTTGTTTCAAATAGTTGGTTATTAATTCTAGGGATTCGTTGTGTACGTACTTTCATTTTAAATAACCTTGAAAAGGAACATGAAAGACATTTCATTGTTTGAGGTCTACATTTACCAACTATTAGAGCAAAAATGTGTTTTGAGTTAAAAGTGTTTAGTTATCAATGATAAAGTACTTGTTGAGTGGGAAATTGCATAGTAATTCTGGATATAAAGGTTACAGATTTCGTGTAGAATAAAACCTAAAGTATAGCAAATTCAGATTCGACAAATTTTAGCTAAATACAGACTGTAATTTACATGCTACATATACCAAAACCCGTGATGGCAATAAGGCCACCGCAGACAGGCAATCGGCTTTAAGGGCACTAAATTGCCGTTAGTGTGTGACCCAAATAGTATTCGAAGCATTAACTGAACAAATAATTATGAAACAGAGTATAAATACAGTGAACAAAGAATGAAATAATTAAACTGCGTGGTAATCAACGATCGCGTAAATATAGTGTTACCGACATGAGTAGAAGTTTAAGGCACGAGCCTTGCAGAGTGTCGTTAAGACTGTTTACGTGAGTTGCGTACACTATTTTACTTTCGACAGTTTTTTAGTTAATAATCGCTACACATAACTTCTCAGAGAGGTTATGTTTTCGTTTTTAACCTCTCATTTTCACTAACAATAATGCAGAGAAACATTGTACCTACCAAATACTAATTGCAACACTCAACAATCAAATTGGTCTGATCAACTGATTTAGTTGACGTTAGAAGCATTACAATTTTCACTTCTTCTCTCTCAATCCTTAAACCTCATTGGTCCATTACCCATGTCGTTAGTGAAAAAAAAAAAAAACAATGCTGTTAAGTAAGTAAACGATGTTAAGTGAATCTTTTCAATTCTTAAAACTGAACTAAAACGGCTGCTTTAAAACTTTCATAGGTAATAACATTTTATATGACCTATAAAACAACTAATGGGCAAATAAAAACAAAATTCACATTTTCTTCATAACTAAAAAAAACAACAATCAATGTTATTTGACTATTAAGGATTGTTATAAATCAGCTTTAAACAATTCAGTAAAAACTTGATGTCCGATAGTGCAGCACAATAGAATAGTCGATGCACATAATTATTGCCCAGTGACCAAAGAAGTGCAAACCCTTTGATGTTCCGATACCAAAGATATTTAAAAAATCCTTCATCCCAGCACTGCACCTTGAAGGTTCCACATTTTAATAGTACTATTTTACTTGCTAGAAACTTTTAATGATAACCTCTAGTCAGAATGTGGTTAGGACAATAAGGATACTCGTTGCAGCGACATATTAACAAAAGAATGTCATAACTATACATATTATGAAGACTTTCTTTTCTAATTGTTGGCAAGTTTGACTGCAACTCAAGCTAGAAATAATGATCGAACCCTATAATACCGACCCAAAGATATCCGCAAATTAGAGAATTTTGTATAATATGGTGTACAACACACTAGAATATAAAACTATGAATTTCATAGACTATCGTAAAAGTTTGGTTTAGTCGACATTTTAAAACCATTAGGCCTATTATTAGGGGTAGTTAAGAACCCTACAAAGCTTACCAGGACCCTTTCTGTGATTGATAGCCCAGATATTGTTTTCTTGTTTCCGATCATTAGGTTAGTAATATCACGACCAATCAACCCTCAGTAACCTACCTTCCGCCTACAAATTTTGCATAAAATTAACATTTGACTTTTAAATCAGACACAATTTTGTAACAAGTATGCATGGTAGTAAAACAGTCTATACAGTATAAGGGGTTTTAGATTACCTATAAAAGACATCTTGCCATCGGGGCGAAGTAAATCGCTTTATACCTGTGGATGGTAGTCAAAAAGCCATAAAACTAACACCCTTGTAGAATAGGAGCATTATTTGTAGCAAGTGATCCGATTCAAGATTGCTTCACTGATCCAGGCAAGCTCACTGGTCACTGTACGTTTTATGTTTCATTTCTCCATATCGTGTGATGACTGCCAAAATACGCTTTAGAATTACATAGCTTATCCTTATTGAGATTTGTTAAAAAAATATAACAATTTTACAGCCGGATTTATTTAAAGCAGATTCACTAAAATATTGAGTAAAAAATTTTACTATGTATTTCATTAAAATTATCACACAGGACTATCAACGCCTCGACTATCTAAAAAAAAAAATATTGTAAATAAAATATTGTAAAATATTGATTGTACCTAGGTCGTACAAATATAATGTATATAATCAACTATTTCATTGGGAAGGTGCTATTAAGACACCACTTTCAAGATTCTCATGCATAATAATGTTCCTCATTGTGTTCTAGCTTTTCAATCTTGGATTTTCTACTAAATAATATTAGACAAGAAAAATGTTAAACTGAAACAGTGTCGCCACTACAACTGATGATTCAATTATAATTGGTAGTGTAAGAAGTGAGCGCTGGATTTCGGTCCTCAAGGTGCTGAGTTCATAATCCGTCAATCACAAACTGATTTTATCTAAGTGATAATACCGCAATCTAGGCTTGGCCTGTGCTTAGTTCTGTAATGTGAAAAACAATTCCAAGTTAGAGCATAGCGTAAAAATTGTGCATTTTTAAAAGTTAATCTTAATGTTTTGCGTCGTTATTTATTTAATGACGAATCATTTTATCGTATTTAAAATTTCTTTAATCTGATGTAGGAATAACTTTGATGATATTTCTATTAAATATTGAAGTCTTCTCTGTAAATATTTTTTCCTAACTGTGTGTAGGGATATACCGTGTTAACATGGTTTTATTGTGTAAGCATCAGTTCAAATATCCAATACACTTAATTGGCATATCAGTAAAACGAATGTCAAAGCATAACCTGAGGGGTTTCGGATGTAATTTATTTCAACAATGTGTGTTGCTGTATCCTTTTGTACTAGTGTAAAAACGTTTACGGGCTTGATATTATCTGGAGGGTAGTTTTACTGAATGGACAGTTTAACTATTTACAAGCACAGAAAAAATGCACTAAATTGTGTATATTTTTAAAGTTATATAATAAACCCTAGATATATTTACAAACTATTTTTATTGAAATCATGAAAAATAAAAAAATTGTTGTAATTTTATTTACATTTTTTTTTCTTTAAATAAACTCAACCTAACTTTACCATATTTCAACGTTTACCTAGCATCACAAGGACACCAGGATCAAAGGAGTTGGATTTAATTACTTCCAGCCTATTTAGGGAAACCTTCCCTCAAACGGGGCTTTTGACCGTCATTAAGCTTTGTTAAATTGATATTTCTCTAGTTTTGCCTGTCCTATGTACTGTAGTGAAACAATTATAACTAATTTGTAATAATCCTCTGC